CAATTTAAAAAAGTAGATCAGAGCTAAAAAAATGCAAAAACGCAGGCAAATTTGCCTGTGTTGGCCTACAATCTAAGAGATAAAAGAGGGAAGACCCTTTCATTATATATATTTATGTAATTGCAATAGTAATTTCAAAAATCTTAATAAAGCACTAATGTAACTGCTTATAAAATAAAATAAAAAAAATTAACTAATATATATTTAAATATATAAAAGATGTTAATAAAAACTAAATTAATCTTCTTTTTCTAATTCAATTCATTTTAAAATTTACTCCTAATATATACAATAGATCAAATACCAAACTAATCTTTTATATATAATTACTAACAACCAAATCTAGGTGAGCCTTAACCACTCCTGTTAGTTTAGGTCACAGATAAACTAGTCTAAGCTTCTACTCTTTTTATAATATTTTTAATAATAAATTTATACTTTATGTAAAAATTTCAAATAAATATTTAATAAAAATAGAAGCATGACCTTACTATTAATATTAAAAAAAAATAAAAATAAAAATAAAAACTAGGCAAATTATTTCTAAGTAAATTTTTTTAAACTTTAAAATAAAATGTCTTAGCAATTATTAAATCAAACTTGATAAAAATTTTTTTATTTTAATTTTATATTGTTATAAATATAAAAAAATTTATCAAGTTTGATTTAATAATTGTTAAGATATTTTAATTTAAAATTTTAAAAAAACTTACTAAAAACTATTTGCTTGGTTTCTATTAACATCTTCTATATAATAAATTTTTTAAAAATATCCTTATAAAAAAGATATGCTTATATAAAGGTTTTTTTATAAATTTAATTATAGTTTGATTTAATATAAATATAATTATATAATATAATTATATAGAAAATAAATATATAAAAAAACAATTATACGTATTAAAAAAAAAATTTACTATCAAAATTATATAAACAATAATCTAATATATTTTTTTATTCTTAAATTTATTATAAAATTGATTAAAATAAAAAGGTTTTTTAAAAACTCTTTATATTTATATTTTTTAAATTTTTTTTAAAAAATATTATTGATTAAAAAGTTATTAAACTTTTATTGTAAACAATTATTTTGTAATATGATTAAATGTTGCGCACCATAGTAATTTTTTATAGTAAAAATTATTATAATTGATATTTTGAACCATATTTGATATCAGTAAAAAATTTTGTAAAAAATAAGGTTAACAATACAAAATAAAACTGTTATATTGTATGTATTAATTCATTTTATTGCATAAAATTTGGATCTAATAATGCATGTATAAAGATGCTTACAAGCTTGATTGGACCAAAGGTTAATTTATCATTTCATGAAGGTGCAACCAGTTTCTTTCTTTACCACATAACCGCGCGGATAAACATTGTGTAGATCGACATAAAGAACATGAACAATTTGTTTGTTTATTTTTTTTTCACAAACATAATTAATTTTCTTCTTTTTCTACCAAATTAAGGATTTAGGTTACGAATGTGTGATATTTGAGAAACGCTATTTTTATTTTGTATTTTGTATTTGCATGAAATGAGTAAGCCATTCAGCTGTTGCTGTCCTTAAGTTCCAAATGTCAAAAAAAGGCTAAAACCAAGACACAACATAGTGACTTCATTATCGGAAAAGGTAATAATTGGGTGGCAGCGGGTAAAAGAGAAAAACGTTAGCAAGGCTTGATATTTCTTGTTATAAGTATGCATCCAATCACGTTTTCGAATATCTTCGTTGTGAACTCATTCAATATACGCAACATCATCCAACAAGTGTGAAACAGGATAGGACATTGCATACATTACCATAGTACCGGTAGATAGGTTGAGCTAAAGGAAACTATGGAATCTTTGTGAAAAATCAATTAATTCGAAAGATAGCCGTGTGCGCGGTAAATCTATTTAGATATATACGTACGAAGTTTAAGATAAATTATCAAGTCAGATCTTAAACAATTATAGAAAAACGTTTTTATCATAGGACGATCCAATTTACAACTTACATCGTGTGTGGTGTTAAAGTCAAAAGTGTTACCAGGTGGTTTTGAAAGTTACCAATTCAGGAAACACGGGACTCGCGTCATCAAAGTTACGTCACGAAAATTGTAATTTTCTCTCAACAAAGTCATTCCCTTTTTGATCATTATTATAAAATGTAATGAATGTCACCGAGGACCAAAACTGATAGGTAACTCACCATTCTAAAGTTGCATTTATGATTTATTTGGATTTGATGGTGTTCCAAGGAATAATTTGGAAAAAAATGTCTTCTTGTGCTACAGTTTTTGGTCTTTCGATGGCTTGTCGTGTATGCCTTACATGGTTGTGATACAATTCTAATAAAAGACATCATCGTCGACAAGTGCTTATATTTTCTTGTTTCAAGTGACAATTATTACATATCTAAATCCTTTTGTAAAATTCGTTTGCAAATTCGTTGCTTGGGGATCTGCATTTAGCATTAGGTTTTCGTATACCTTATTTGTTTAGGTCTGTCAGGTCTAGGATCACGGATTCTATTGATTGGTGTGGATTATTTATTATTGTATAAATGGTCCCCCGGATTTGCTTTTTGGTTCTTTTTCGTAAATAGTCCCACGCCCTATAATCCTATGATCTTTATTAAAATATCCGCTGTTTCTTTTCTTTAACTTGCGTCGTACCGTATCACCAAATGTCACATTGTCACCCCCTGCCCGCATACATTCTATCGTTTTCGCTCTGCCCATTTTTTCCCACCTCTTTTTAAAACACTGACGACAGAATAAACAGAGTGTAGACTCAGTTGTGTGCTGTGCTTGCTCAAGCCCTTTTAACAGTTGTGCTGCTTCTCAAACGAAAGCACAAGTTCTCCCTGTGCTTGAGTTGTTGCTTCTTTTCACTACACACACAAACAATTCCTCTTCACCCTCAGTTTAGTTCGCTGGTTAAATAAAACCTCTTCTATCAACAAAGAAAACCCAACCTTTTCTTAGTCTTGATTTCATTCCCTTCTCTAACATCACGCTAACTTTGAAGCTCGATTGACTTTCTCCAGTCGAACTCTCAAAGATTTTAATTTGAAAGACCAATCTCCGCCTATTTGCGGTTTGCTTACCTCTCGCACTCTCGCAACTTTTTCATTATTAAGTCCATAATAATGGGAGGCGACGTAGTCGTGGGTGGACATTGGTTAGTCGAAGAAAAAATCGGAGAGGGGTCCTTCGGTGAGGTCTTTCGAGGTATGTGTTCTACTTTAATCGATTTTGTTTGTATCGAATTTTTTTTATGTTTGTATCTTTCATTCTCGAAAAGTCCATGAATTGTTATATAGTCAATTTCTTTATTTCCATTGTTATCTTTTTGACTTGGTATCTTCAATTGAATATCTCTCATTCATACATGTACTGACCATTTTATTTTTTATTAAAAGCCGTGCACACGAAAACCAATGAACGATATGCGATAAAGCGAGAATTAATTGAAGTTCCTCATCCTCAACTGCCACATGAGGCTGAAGTACTCAAGCTACTTAAAGGAGCGAGTATGTTTAATGCTATACAATTATTATTATTATTTTATTAATATTCCTATTCATTGAATCCTTTATTAAAATGCCTTTTTCTGTAAGGTTCCATACCAACTGTACATTGGTTTGGAACAGAAGGCATATATCATGCTATGATTATTGATTTATTTGGGCCCAACCTGAGATTGTTACGAAAAGCATATGCAAAACTTCCTGTACATTTCGTTAGTGACGTGGCTCAGCAAATGGTATTTTTTTAAATTTTTCCTATTTTTTTAAAAAAAATTTATTATTATACAAATTTTTTTTTTAATACTTTATTCGTAATCTCTCAGGTAACGATATTAGAATACATACATGAACAAGGTGTCGTGTACAGGGACGTTAAGCCCGATAACTTTCTTCTAGAAAAAAACTTCCCATTACAAATAAGTCGTCTTGCTGCATTTGATTCTGATGATGAAGCATCTGAGGCAAAACTTAAGGATCTAAAGCTTTTGGTCAGCAGAAAACATCATATTAGTATTGTGGATTTTGGTAAATCTATGAATGTTTGAATGTTAAAGTTTTATCATGAACAATCTATCATATGTTTAACCGTTTCATGTGTTTGTAGGGTTATCCGCATTCTATATAGATGAATCCGGAAAGCATATCCCCAAAAATCAACATTTGGCAAAGAATAAAACTGGAACGGCTCGTTACGCTTCCCTAAATGTTCACAAGGGACTTCGTAAGTGATTAATCATCATTATCTAGTTTATATATGACTTTACGTTTTTTTAATTGATGCTCAAATTACATTCAAATAGAGCATTCTCGTCGTGACGATATGGAGTCTCTAGGTTATGTTTTGCTAGAATTATTACGAGGGGATCTTCCTTGGGCTGGAGTTACCGCACGTAATTCACGTCAAGGGTGGGCAAAGATGTTAAAGATAAAAGAGGAAATCCCGTTAGATGAATTATATGATGGTCTTCCAAGAGGGTTTATGCTATATCTTCAATATACGAGAAATTTACAGTACGATGAAGAACCGGATTATAATCGTTTACGAAAATTGCTAGCGTATGTATTTGTAAATATATTTGGTTTATTTACATAATTTATACATTAAAGTCCCTATTTTTTTTTATAGTGATACGGTCGGAAGTGGGATGGAGGCCGAAAAAGTGACTAGAGAACCTCTATTTTTTGATGATGTTTGTGAACGTCCTATTTCTCCACGTCAACGGAACATAAGGTCACAATCTCCGCTGACAATAAAATCACCGCGTGGTGGAAATGATTATGAAGAAGATGCGGCTTATGCTTCCCCTCCACCATCACCTTTTTATAAAAGGAAGAACTTTTCATGGCGAACTAAAAACAAGGAAGATATTAATTGTTTTGGTACACCAGAACGTTCAAATTCTTTAACCATATCTCCTAGCACAAATACGATCCCATATCAAAAATTCAATACTATATCTTCACGTTCTTTCTCGTTACCTTACCGTGATCCTGGTTATGCGGATAACGGTTATCATCCCAATGGTCGGGATGAACGACGTGCAAAACGTCCTGAAAATATCAGAAAGCCTCCTTATGTTAGAAGATCTTCCACAAAAACCTCTTGGAACATTGTTAAAGATTCAAATACGCAATGGGAGCAAGATGTTCAGCAGAAATGTGAGAATGCTTGGAAAAATGGACAATCTTGGAATGATAATAATTTCGATAGCCAAGAAATGAATTCTGTTCCTTCAACTCCAATTAATGAGTATGGTTTTTGGATTGATAATGCTGATCAAGAATTTCAAGGCTTTGATGGTGGATTAGTTGGAGATTCTGATGGATGGATAAATCACGTTAATGATGAGAATATTTATATGACAGAAAAATCGTCTAAAAATAGGAATCAGGTTACTCGCAATGGTACTGATGGAAACCAAGATTATTTCGATTTGGAACGAGCTCGCACCAATTCCATGAAGGGAAATCGTGATTTACGAGATATACAAAGTAGAAGGCCTTCAATCCCTTCTCCTTTATCAATTGCCATTCCACCGAATACATCAAATAACATACAAACCAGAGGTGTTGCGTCTCCAAATAAAAAATTCGATATGTCACAATATGATGACGAAATGGATGAGAATATTCCTCTAGGTCCTAGGCGAAGTATTCCTAACATTCGTACAAATGCTTTGGCCTCAAAGTTCTTCAAACGAAGTGTTCCAAATCTTCGAGATGCCGCTGGTAATGGTCACACCGTTCCTCCACCATCATCTACTATTAAAAGAACAATTGCTCATATGCAAGATGCACAATCAGCAACAACTTTAGGAATGAAAAAATCTACTCCTGTCAACAGTAATAATTCCCGTTATATTGCGAAAGAATCTCCAATTAGTACGAGCCACTCTTTACGAGATGATAAAGATATTAATGGAATTAATATCAATACGAACCATTCACATTCTCAGAATTCTAGATATTCACCGCAAGACGCTCGATATTCTCCTCAGGATACGAGATTTTCCTTGGGCCGAGATGGAATTAGAAACCGTGAACGTGCTAATACTTTTAGTTATAATAATATGACTAAAGATTCTCGTTTATTACCTGCTCCTCATACAATTTCTCCACGCCAAAACAATAAATCATTTAATAGAGAACGTTCTTACACATTCACCAGTGGAAATTCTCCAATGAGTCCTAATACATCTTATCCATTTGATGATCCTTCTTCTTCATCACAGTATTATACTAATGGTAGAAGGGAAAGATCTTACACTTTCACTGACGGCGGAAGGCATAAAGATAGTAATTTCAATACTGGAAGGAACGTATATGATCGGCATCGTCCTCCTTCACTTGGTCGTAATTTTGGAAACGGTCCACAAAATTTCGGTTCTGGAAGAAATGGAACAGTAACTAACGCTTCAAGATCACAATTTAATAACCATTCGCCGGCTGAACAAAAGGATAGCTTGAGTCCTGGTAAAATTCAAGGAGAGAGTTTTCCTCCACGTGCCAAATCTGCATCTCCTTCATATTTTCATAGAAGAACCAATTCCAATGAATCAGAGTCCGTAGATTCTAAAAAGACAGGCCAATCTTTAAATAATACGGCAAATTCGTCTTCGACTGAAAGTTCTACTGCTCCTTCACCAATATCTCCATCCCCAGATGAATCTCCTTGTACTGATGATAAACATAGATCAATTGTCTCGTCTCCTACTTCAAATCATGTGACTTTTGCCAAGAATTTGAAAGAATCGGCACCTCAAAAAAGACCTATGCATATGCCTCGTAGACAAAGCTTTACAGCATTAACTGGTGAAGGAAAATCACACAGGACTCGAAGTTTAACTTTCGATAATAAGCCAAATTCAAACTTTCAGGGACATAGCATACTGGATGAAAAAAAGAAAAAGTATGGCAAGTCAGAGATTTATGTTTGATGAAAGTTCGAACTCGGGTTGGACTGCGACGGGACGCTGGAGTCCGTCCTTTTGAGTTCGAAATTATTATTACTCGCTTGAGGGTTGAGATGTCCTCCCCCGGCGAAATTTAATGTGTATTTGTTGAATTGCTTAATTTGCTTTAAGTATTTGTACAAAAAGCTGAAACTAAGGGCAGCTGGGAAATTTTCTTATACATATATATTATATACATACTTGTTGGGTTACATGGCTAACATGAAGGGGAACTAACAGAGGAAGTCCTTTTTTCCTTTGTAATATATTCGCATATTTTTAATTTTTTTTTAGTTGAAGCAGGGCTTTTTTTTTTTCTTGTAACTTTTTTTTTTCCTTCCTCTTGTTTTCTTTTCCCTTCAAAAAAAAAAAAGAAAAAAAACAAAAAAGAAAAAAAAAATATTGAGATTTGTACTATAGACGTTTGTTTCTATTTTATTTATCGATTTTGTTTATCTTTTTCATTATTTTTTTTTCATTCGCTCTACAAATTTTCAACCTTTTGCTTTTCATTGCAATTTCATGTGAACAATTTTCTTAGGTTTTTTTTCGCTTCATTAACTTTTGCACGATGATGCTGTGGTCATGAATCAGCAGTTTATTCAATAACTTTTCTAACGACAGTTTTTTTTTTTTTTTAAATTCAAAAATTTTTTTTTATAAATATTTTGGAGTTTTTCTCTTCATAAAAAAAAAAAACAAAAAAAAAATTTAATTGGTTTATACACTCGTTTGAAAAAGTATATAAAATCGATTTTTATCAAACATTTATGTAATTCTTTTTTTACTTACAAAAGAAATGCGACGCATGTCAAGATTATTTAATTTTATTATTGATTGTATTTATTTATAAAAAAATAAAAAAAAACAATAATTGTCAAAAAAAACTAATTATTGACGGAGATTCGTTTTTGATGCGGTGTGGTCATATAAAGATTTAATTAGTTAGTTTAAGATTAGAATTAGGCAAGTATATAGTCCGAGATATCAGTTTCTTGTATTTTTCGCACTTTACACTTTTTATGCCTCTTCGGACAGGTTTGTAAATAAGAAAACATCTTGCCTTAACCTACGTAAAAGTTCGCCTTATACCCTGGAATGTAACATTTTTAAAATTTTTAAAATTTTTAATTTGATTTTAGTATCTGGCATTAGAAGTTGAACCTAAATTAAGCTTAATGTTTGAATACATGGTCAAGAAAAACCTGTAAATCAATTCACCTTATCGGACTCTGAAATGAATACATATGTATACTGTTATATTGAATCCAAATCTTTTTGTAGACACAACACTTCTGAGTTGGTAAAAAATTTTCCAATCGATTAGTTGCCAACTATATATAGTTGCAACTGATCAACTTTTCCTATCATGTAACTAAACTTGTTGATTGGCCAATCAAACTAAAGAAATCAGCACGAACCAGCCCGAATAGATGGAATATCTCGGAATTTAACTAGTTGATGATTTAATCAACTAGTTGTTTCAAAATTTTCCAAATCGATTAGTTGGAAAGTTGTCAACTAGTTGGATTTGACCGACACTTAATTCATCGACAAGCTTAATTTACCGACAAGCTTAATTCACTGACACTAAATTCAATTCACCGACAAAGTTATTATACCAGAATTATGTTTAAGGTTAGTACAAGCTATAAACGTTTCGGTGAATCAAGCTTGTCAGTTAATTGAGTGTTGGTGAATTGATTGTCAGTGTTGTTGAAGTGTTGTATTTACGAAATGAGCATTGGTAAAATAATATGAATCTTATCAAATCATATATATATAGTGCAATATTATATGATGGATAAAAAAAAAACAAATATTAGAATTTGCATTAGTTGTTCTATTCTACTTTACTGACAATTGTTTTACCAACAACTTACTTAGCCAACATTTTGCCAAGTGGTAATATACACTTGTAACTAGTCAAGCACTAACTCTAACCTTGATAACTAATAGATAGCATAAAGCTAGCTTTAACATTTATTAATAATCAATTTAAAAAATCTAACTTGGTGATCCGATTTTGTCAAATGATGACTAATGTTTATTTGTCGCACGGATGATGTGACCAACAGTTTTTCTGATCTTACGAGCAAGTTTAACTGTGTGTGGACCCTTGGCGGTGAACTTTGGTTAAGTATTTCTAATAATTTAAAGGTTATAATTATTTAGTGTTAAAAATAATATTTAATTTTGTCAATTTTTTTGTTTTCTTTTGAAATTTATTTGATAAGGATTGTATGTCATCCTTTTTTTTTAGTATATATTTTTTCATATTCAGAAATGTACTTTTTAAATATTTGTATAATATTATTATTTAATGTTGGCATAAATATTAGTATTACTTTGTTTTAATATTTATCATTTTAGATTTGATTGTTTATCAAATTTATTAATTTTAATTTGTATTAATTTATTTTGATTTTTTTATAATATTAAAGGTAAGGCCATGTTTTTATCTTTATTAAAATTCAGTTAAATTTTTTACAAATAGAATATACAGAAAAAATTTATATTTGAATTTTATATCTATAAGATATTAAGATTAGAGGTTCAGACAAGTTATCTGTGATCTAAACCTATTTGTATTAATTTATTAGGTTGTATTAGATATAAATATGTTAGTATTTGTATAAAGTTTGCTTTTTTAATTATATTATTTTAATAATTTTAATTTGTTGTATTATTTTTTTTTAAAAAATAACCTTTTGGATCTTTTAATTTTTATTACTACTTTTTGGTAATGTGTTCTATACAGAATTACTACAGAAAAAATATATAATTGGTTAAATATATAACTTTTCTATATATATTACTTATTTAAAAAGTCTGCTTGAAGGTTTCTTACTAATTATTATATTTAACATATCTGCTTGGATATTCTGTTTTAAACTCTTTGAATCTGCAACCTATATTAATTTTACTAGATCATGTTCAGATCTTTGTCTTAATTTAGGATTATTTTTATTCTTAAAATAAATTTTTTAAAGTTTTTTACTTATTTTACAGTTAATTTGATATTATTATAATTGAACTAATATTTGTAATTAAGATTAATTATTAAATTACTGTATTCTTACAGAGTTTACTTGAATTTTAGTACTACTTTACAACATATCTGAATTATTTTAGTATATTTTATTATTATTCTTAGATTTCTAATTCAGACAGCTTAGTAAAATTATGACCAGTCTATTAATATATTGAATTAATTTGATATTTTTTTTTCAATCTGATTCTGATAGCCTGGTTGATGATATTTTTTACTCAAAGTTTTTATTTATCTAGTTTTTTTATATTAGTATTTGTTTTTTAAAGTTAGTTTTTATAGTAGTATTGTCAAAAATCTGTATTACATTTTTGTTTAAGTCTTTTCAAACAGATTTTTTGTTTTTTAATTTTTACAAATTTATATAATTACAAAGGTTTATCTTAAGTTTGCATTACCTAATACTGATTTGTATTTTTCTATATAATCAGTTATACAAAAACTCTATTACTTGCTAGTCATATTAATATAAATAATTATAATTACAAGTATCTTAATCTAATTATTAAAAAAAATTAGTATAATATAAATAAAAATTCAAATTTTATTATTAATACTTTTTAAACTTGCAACCTACTATTTAAAAAACTAACAACTTTTTATTTCACTAAGTTATCACATTTCTATAAGTATAATTTCTAATTTATTAAATAAATAATATATATTAAAAATAGGGTATACTATTTTAAAATTATATATAAACTTAATAGTATATTTTTTTTATATTTTTAATTATGAAAGTTTTTATTAATTAAATATTTTTTAAACTCTTAAGTAAAGTTATAAAGTAGGTTATTGTGATTCTAACAGTAATAAAATTATTAAAATTAGTTTAAAACTCATCAATATATAAAGTTTTAAAGATTAGATATAAAAATTTATTATTAAAATTCTCTTATAGTTTTTCAGAAATTAACTAATTAAAGTTGACTTTTTTATATAACCTAGGAAAAACATAAAGTGTTCTAGAAAAATTCAAGATATATACAAATATATTTTTTTTAAATTAAGTATCTTATAAAATTTTAATATAATAAATAACTTATTTAAATCTATATATTATTAAATTTTAATAAAAATTAATTAAAAAATAAAAAAGTTTTATTAGTAACACATTTTAATTTATTATATAAAAATTTATTATATTATCTAAGTCATATGAAAAATAATCTATGTTTACCTTACCCTTAAGATTAATTATATATTTTTTAAAACAAGTTTTAAATTAAATTTTTTTATTTTAAAAATATTAAAAATATATAAGATTATATTTTTTATTTTATTAAAATTTAAGTTTTTATAAAAAAAACTTTTTTTTAAATTATAAATAAAAAAAAACTTAAATATATAATTTGTATAATCTAAATTACAGATTGAATATATGAATAATAATAAAATAATAGAATGTATTTATATAGTCATATTAGTTTTTTAATATAATATATTAGTAAACTAACAATTATCTATATTATAAGAAGATTAAATAAGACACAAATTGCTAACTCTTTCCAATGATTATTTGTACCAAAATTCTGCTAAAAAAAATTTTTATTTTCTTTAACAAACTATAATTAAATATTCTTAAAAACTATATTAAACTGTTTATTACATAAATTTATATATAATTACAAAATTTTATATTGCTAGTTTAAATATTAAATAAATTATTTAACTTTATTTTAAAATAACTTTAAAGTACTTATACTCAAATCCGGCCTAGGAAACTTGTCTTGTCCCTTAAAACAAAATTATTCAACTCATCTTAGACTTTAAATTAATATAAGTTTCATCAAAAACAGTCAAAAATTGACCATTTTATAAGCAAAAAAATTCAAATAGCTATATTTTCTAAAAATTTTAAAAATTTCTTTAAAATTTGGTTCCTTTCTTCTCATCCCCTTCAAATCTAGACTTCAAATACATTTTAAAATAC